TGGTTTCTTTACAATATTAATATAACAATTGTTGTAATACTTATTCCATAAAGACGCATTTCGCGCGTTACTTCTTCTCGCCACTCTTTCTGCAATGTTTTACAGATTTTTTTTCCAAGTATAATTAATTTTAAACAATTTCAAGCAAATTAACTTCAATTTTTTCACAACCCTTCTTCCGGATGCTCATTAAGAGCTTGTTCCAAAATAAATGTATCGCAGCTGTAAATATTGCAGCAATAAAAAAAATGAAAAAAATAACACCCGCATGCACTTGAGCACATAGTGTCACCATTCACACCAAAAGTGGCACTTGGCAGCAACACCACATCTGGACGAGCGATCGCCAGCAAACAGCACGATCGTTAAGATCACTTTTGTGACACAAACAGCTTATGTGGAGATGCAAGTATGTATAAGTATACATATGTACACATGCATGTACATATGTATGTATTTATGTAATAAATTGTGTGTCGCTGCATTTGGAGGCTGACAAGTCATGCAGATGGACAGCCACGAGAGATTCAGTGATCAAAAGTGAACACTGGCAAAGAGTGGGACTGAAGCAACGATTGCTGAGTTGAGATCTGGTTGAGGCCATTGAATTGGCTGCTTTACCAGGCTATTTGTCTGTCTGCTCGACTGACTGCCTGGTGACACTCGTACGCAAGATTAAAAAATTGAGTATGTATGCATATGTAGTAATAAAGATTAACATTTGCATGAGTTTGGGTGTATTTCCTTGAACGATCCACAGGCGTCAGCAATGTATTTGCGCGCATTTACCGTAGAAACGCGAAGGTCTGGAGCAGTGAATGAGTGTTAGTGAGTGAGCATGAGAAAAAAATAAAATAAATTAAAAATTGCGAATTGCTCGACATTAATCACATGAGAAAAATTCATGCAAAACGCAGTAAGGCCGCTGATCTGTAGACCGACCTGTATGTACTTGCAAACGTATATAAGGAAAGTAGCGGCAAGCTGGAGACGTTGGCGCAATGGAATACTGAAACAACAGAAAGCACTACTATGCTGATGATTATGAGTTGAAGAACTGGCTGATTGGACATGATTTAGGCGTTGGGTGCCGCAGCATCTGCTGGCGAAAACGTGAATGGCGTTGGAGTAGGAATACGTGAAGGAGTATAGATGGCGCGCCAGTTGGGAGACATGATATACGCAAATTTAATGAATAACAATGTAGAGAACAAAAAAATATTATAAAACGAATTGGGCAAATTAATAAAAAAGAAGCAGGAGATAAGGAAGCAGCAGTGGAAAATTTAGAAAATCATAAAAAATAAAAGAAATCAAAAGAAAAAATCTTTAAGTCTACTAAGCATCCAACGCATGTATTTGTCGGTAAATACTAGGGTGATAAAATTGTTTTTCGGAACTAATTTTAGAATTTTTTCGAAAATATTATTTTTCAAGTTTTAATTGAACTGTCAAAGTGTGCTTTAAATATTTTTCGAGTTTCGAATTGCCATAAAAAATGGCATGTAAACACAGAATTATGGCAGATTTCCACTGGGCACTAAAGCAAAAAATTTTGTTGAGAAAATTGGCCATCAAAAATACCCATTATTTTTAACAAAATATTAATTAATTAATAATTACCAATTCCTGAATTTCATTGGGTATTAAATAAATATTTTAGTGACAAATTCGGGTATAAAAAATATTGGTATGCCTATTTTGAAACAAATGCCAAGTTTTCAATCAAAGTTGATATGACAAAAAATTGGTGCCATTTAAAGATGCCACTGTATTTTTTAGTTATTTGCCATTATAATTGTTGTCATTAAATGCTCGATGTAATTTTGTCATTTATTGTACAGAAGACATCCTTCATAAGAGAGCCTAATTTTTTTCTCTTATAAATTAAATTTTTTTATAAAGATTTACACTATGTGTAGTAGTATGGTGGTATCATGGCTATACGACACCCACAAATTGACAGTTTTTTACTATTTATTTTTTATTAAATACTTAATTTTAATTATCATTTTCAAATATAAAATATTTATTCAATAACAAAAATTTATATGTACATCTAAATTTCAAACTTAGTACAAAAAAAAAATTCCATCAAAATTTCACATTTTTTATTCAGTGCATTTTCTCTATACAGTAGACGCTCACAAATTAGAACTCTTAGTAATTAGAATTTCCAGAAATTAGAATCAACTGTTTGAATACATTACACGCTCGTATTTTGTTTTTTTGTTGCAAAATAGATATAAAAAGGGGAATCCCCAATTTATTCATGTTACGCTCGGTAGTCGTTGGATTTTCGTCGCTATCTGTACAGTTTTTGTTAGTTTTTGTTTGAAATTCGATTCGCGTGCACGTGTTTCGGCATTGTTTGCTTAAAAGTAAAAGTCGTTCGTTGAAATGCCAAATAAACGTAAGAAAAATACTTTGTCTTTGGAAACCAAAGTGCAGATCTTGGAAAAGCTTGACCAAGGTATTCAAGGGAAGCGGTTAGCCCTAGAATTTGATGTGGCGCCATCTGCAATCACCTATATCAAATCTATGAAATCATCAATTTTAAGCGCTGTTTCTAATACCTATCATAAGGCTAACAAAAAATCATTGCATATCGCTGAATATCCAAAAATGGAAGCAAGTCTTTATAAGTGGTTTTTAAATCAACGTACATTAACTGGGCCAATACTAAAGGAGAAAGCCAAACAAATATTCAAAGAGGAATATCCCGATAAAGATGAAAGTACATTTAGCGCAAGTGATGGATGGTTTAGCAAATTTAAAAAACGACACGGAATACGTTTTTTTAAAAATTTGTGGCGAGATTCTCTCTAGTGATGTTGCTTCAGTCACCCCGTTTATTCACAGATTTCGTGCAAAAGTCGATGAGATGGGGCTAATGGAGTCACAAATATATAATGTAGATGAAACCGGATTATTTTACCGTTGTTTACCTGACAAAACATACGTCTCTCTTTTCGAGAAAACCGCCCCCGGGTATAAAATCCAGAAGGAACGAATTTCAGTGTTACTTGGTGTAAATGCTGATGGATCACATAAATTAATGCCATTAGTAATTGGAAAAGCAAAAAAAAACCAAGAAGTTTCCAAGGATTCAATAATCCACTCCATTACAACTTTTCAAAAAATGCTTGGATGACATCTCGGATTTTTCATGATTGGTTTCACAAGATATTTATTCATGAGGTAAGAAAAAACTTTGTTTTTAGGTTCAGTAATTCCAAAATATTTTCAATTCACAGGTGATTCGTTTCTCTCAGGAAAATAATTTGCCTCCGAAGGCAATTTTGCTAATTGACAACTGCTCTGCTCATGCACCAATTGAGAAACTTCAAAGCGACGATGGAAATATAATTGCATTTTTTCTTTCCACCAAATGTAACAGCAACTTTACAACCAATGGATCAGAATCCTATTAAGTTAACCAAGCTAAACTACAGAAGTATGCTTCTTTCTCAATTAATTGCTGAAGGAGGTGACCTCAAGGTTCGCTTGAAATCCTTTTCAATTCGAAATGCAATCATGCTATTAAAGCAAGCTTGGTATGATGTTCCAGAAAGAGTAATAAAAAAGTCCTGGTCAAAGTTGAACAACTGGGACTCTGATCAGTATGAAAGTGATGACGATGATGTGCCACTAGCACAGCTGCTGCAAAAAGATCAAGACTGCAATGGAGCTCTTCAGGCAGCTCAAGCACTTTTAACAGAAATAGAGCCAACTAATAACATTAGCATACCAGAAATTGAAATATGGAACAATGATGTGCTTGATGACGACCCTGCACATGATCTCAATAGCGATGATGAGTCTTCAGGTAGCAGCGAATTTGATGACCGGGAGGTCTTACCAGTTGTCTCTTCCTCTACAGCCATTGAAAGCGTCAATAATTTAATAAAATGGTGTACTTATAGTGAATCGTTTTCCGCAAAGCACACAAGCAATCTGCTAGCTCTTCGCAATGAGATTGTTATTGCAGAAACAAATAAAAGGAAGAAGCAAACAGCAATAACAGACTACATGCCTGCAAATTAGTTAGGAAGTTTTTGATTAATTTTTGGCTGTTTTAATGTATATTTATCGATCTCTTATGTATTTTTGATAAAAAAAAATATATTTACTGTAATTGGAGTTTTTGTTTTTTGGACCTTTTTTTGACTTAGCGCATAAATACATATATGTATATTGGAATGTTACCTTATGTTTTCTCGTTTTTATGAATAAAATTTAGTAAGACAAAATTTCATTGTAGTTTTTCAATGCAAATTGACTTAAATTTTAAGGTTTTATTGAAATAAAAAAACGTCCAGGAATTAGAATTTTTCCGAAATTAGAATCACCCTAAAAACAAAGTGGTTCTAATTTGTGAGCGTCTACTGTATAAACAATTGTCGGTCAACCGTAATTTTGTAGCCACTTCAAACTTGCACTTTCGTACACTACAATTTAATGGGCTACATATGCCCACAAAATTTCAAATAATTCTGTATGAAAAGTGTGAAATTTTGTTGAAACTTTGTTGCCTTTTTTAATTTTTGTATAAAGTTTGAAGCATGAATTTATGTATATGATTTTGTTATAGAATGAACTAGGCTTTCTACAAAATGTTTTTTTTAATATCCTCAAAACACCGAACACCCTAGTAAATACAAATAAACTCCAAGCTTATTCTACTCGATCACGCGTAAAATAAATTATTTGAAATGTCAAAAATATGAAAGATTACCCAGCCATTAAACCTATATTTGCATTTGCAGCTTTCTATCTTCTCTGGAATCGTATGCCTTTGCCACTATTTATCTTCATAACAAGTGAAGGCACTTGCAATCAGCCCAGCACATTTATTTTCGTTTTTCAAAGATGTATGTGCACAATACTTGCTCCATGCTACTTGCTAAATATTTATATTTCCCTCTTTTTTTTTGCACATTACTCACTGCATTTCTTTGCTGATAATCACTTTTTCGATTTTTTCTTCTTTCTTGCAGACATTTACACTTGTTGCAGTGAAGTATTTGGCTCATGTCGTACATCATGCGAAAATGTAAGTCCATAAATTTTATTTTTATTCACATGCGTTAGTGTATAATATTTATTTTGCCTACTAGTATATTGCTTAAGCCCACTACAGAGGCACACTTGTCATGTTTTTTGACAGTTAACGGTATATTGTCGTCATATCTCATCGTTCAAATGTAAGAGCGTTAAATAGTTGAAATTTTGGTTTTTTTTTCGTTTGAGAAGAATTTTGAAGCTTTGATTTGCCTGCTGTTTTAAATTGAAAATTAATTCAATAATTTATATATTTGTATGTATGCATGTAGTTTAAGTTAGGTTCAAGTGACAGCTGGTATTACTACCAGCCCACATTTGTCTTTTTGATTAGACCTGATTTCGGTGCAATGGAAAGTGATGGGTCACGAAATTATTTTAGGGCCTTTTTGTTCCTGCATCAGCTTGCTGATCACCATTGTCCGCAACATGTCCTCAGTGAACGTCTTCGCAAGCTGACGCGTGACATACACCAACGCAAATTAAATACTTGTAAATTTCAAACCACTTGAATGCTGATACTTGCGATTTATGTATGCAAATATTGTAAAAACTATAACAATACTTGAGTTTACTCAAAACGGATACTCGTAAAACCTCGCCTTTAGCATGAGAGCCATTAATTTCAAACGATCTTTTTCGCGCACCTACTAAAAAAATTAAATGAAATCTGGTATAGAATGTATGCTCATTAGGGCGGTTTGACAGAAGAATATCAAAGTTAGATTGACCAAAAAACAAAAATAAGGGTTTGACTACAGGTATTAGAAATGGAACTCCTATTGGATTGGTAAAAAATAACAACTAAGGGCTAAAAATAAGCCAAAAATTCTATCCCATTTCCTGAAGAGGACAAATTCATTAAATTAGCCTGGATGTATTAGTGCATTGAGTTTAGAATACGCCAAGTAAAAATTGTTTCAAATAAAAGCGTCGGATCAACGAAGAAGAATTGGATTTCAGCGAGCCCAAAAGAACAGTTGGTTCAACGAGGAATACTACACCACTGCCAGGAAAAATATGCCGTCTTCGATGAAACTTCAACCTAACCATCTAACCTAATGTACATTTTTGCGTCCATATAAAAAAAAATTATGTTGCACGTTAACGCACCTAACCAGCAAATAGCTTTGCAAATTTTATTACCTGTTCAGCCCACTCGAAAAAATTGTGGTTTATATATCCATATGAGCAGAATAAAAATCCACCTAACCAAACTCTAAATGCAAAAAAAAAGACAGTTAATGACTGACAAGTTTATTAAAATGTTATCCTTATCGCTATTGAGCTGTCATTTAGACATTGTGGGCATAATCAAATACCAAATGTAAACTATGCGAAATTTGCATTTTTAAATTGCCACGACAACCCACACAGATGGGCACATATGTACATACATTCTCACGTCCACATACATTGCTGAGTATCATATTTAAGAGGTTTTACTAGGCTTTTTGCCGCGTTTTTTGCCATTACTGGCATATTATATGGAAAAAGCTGGATTTTGCGTGGGGGTGTTGCATGTCAAATTCTTCTATTTTTTATGGCACAAAATATGTAGCTTCTTTCACCCATGTGTGGTGTGTAAATATGACAAAGCCATTAGTTGTGCTTTCTGCCATGAAATTAAGAGGCTGGCGATGTCTAAATGCTAACGCCCAGTTTGACTAAATAATTTGTTGTTACTTAATTGACGTTTACGTGATAAAATGCGTGTCTTGCATTCACCAAGTCATCATCCTCGCAGACTTCCTTAGGCTCTTTGTAGTTGCAGTACAGGTTTATGTTCATATCACTAGCATATATTTTTAGTATTTTTCAGACTTTCTCATTGCATAGGATGCTGTTGGAGGTTGCCGGTATGGCCTTAATAGATATGAATTTATGTGCATACGTACTTAATTAAATATTCATGCATAAATATGTACTTAGGTGTCTAGTGATTTTTATGTTGCATGGTGTAAGGTAATATTATTTACTGGTGATATTTGCCTTAATCTGGGGAAAATCAAGTTGAGTAAAGCGCATGCGCAACATATATATCTACTATGTGTAGAAGTTATGTACCATGTCATAAAGATTAGGTAATGCATTTACATACATACATATGCTTGCTTATTCTTACTTGTGATCATAAAGAGAAAATATTTTTGAGGGGTTGCCACTTGTTGAATAAGTTAAAATCGGTTAATTAATAAGTTAAATAAAATATTACAACAATGTGGGTGTCATAGGAAAGGAGTTCAAAAAGGAGTTATTGCGAAAATGTTTTTCAAGAGGTTTAACATCTGCTCAAAAAGTTAAAATCAATTTAATTAACAAGCTAAACGAAATATTTTAATTTGAGTATCAAACGATAGGGCTTTAAGAAAGCTTTATTTCAAACATATTTTTAATGGTGGCTGCCACCTAATAAGAAATTCAAAATCAATTTAATTAACAAATAATATAAAATATTTTAATCTGGGTGTCAAACGAAAGAAGGCTGCATCTATTTCGAAAATAAATTTGTCGATGGTTGCCACCAGCTTAGGAATTCAAAATCAATTTTATTGGCAAGTTAAATGAAATCCTACTAATATTATAAATGTGAAAGTTTAGTCTGGCTTCAGACAGCTTATGACCTGTATTAACATGGAAAAGTTAAATTTTATATTAAATTATAATTACTGGATCCTGACAGAGGAAGTAGACGGAATGCTATTGATCGCTGGATACTAGGCACCTTATATCTTCTCTTAAAGAGAACGAGTTCCGTATTTACAGAATTAATAGCAAGTTCGCAGCTATTTAGCAGATGAGATCGTACAGAGTGTGGGAGGTATAAAAACTAGAACCATGAACGAAATGGTTGGTAGTTTGCCTTGCATTTCTACTGTGTATTGAAACCAAAAAATCAAAAAAAATAAATTGATGGGCTGGAGTGTAATATGTTATCTAGATCGATATCTACATTTTTGGATTGAGTTTCCAGTACACTAGAATATGCCGCGCGAGATCTGGTATCATCCGTGTTGTAAACCAAGAAGTTAGTTATTTGAGCTCCATAAGTAACACGCTATTTAAGCCTACTTACATGTTTGGTTACAAAGAGCTACATACGAGCACACGATATTTCTAATTATGCAATGTTAAATGCAAGATTAAACTTCCGAGGAAATTAATCTAAAAACTAACAAGATGGTGGGAATAAAGGAAATATCAAAAATGTCCGGTTTGTTATTCTTATGACTGTTGTTGACAGTTTAAAATGCTGTCATTTGGTGCTAAATATTTATCTCACTAATATCTTAGACCAGTCTCTACATTTCGTGCAGTCGATCATAAATTCTACTGAAAAGTAATTTAGCTGACCATAAACTGACATAGAAATTTGCGCATGCACCATGAGCGTTGATTTATTTACCTATCAGTGAGCGGTAGCGCAATTAGTGTAGTACAAGTAAACTCGTTGAACGAACGAACGACTAACCAGCTGTACGATCGATCATTCAAAGATGCAAAAATATGCATACAAATACGATTTGTATACAGTCAGCGCCAAAAATATGCATACCTTAACGTTTTGAAGATTTTAGTTTTTTATTTATATTTTCCATACCAAATTTTTCTTACTTTTTTATAAAAATATAGTTCATTGAACAGCAAAAACCACAAGAATCAATTGTTTGAATTTCAAACAGAATTTGGGGAAAATGGAAGAAATAGCAAGAAATTTAAAAATTTTCAATTCTATCTTTTAGAAAAAATATTGAGTATGCAGTTTCAAAACCCATTAAATTTTTGTATAAAGTGCAAGTTTCAAGTCGCTAAAAATTACCGTTTATTTGTGAAATTTTTTTTCGTTGGGGGTTTTGTGTACCTTCTTTCATATACAAAAATTGTGTTCTTACTTTATGTGGAAGAAAATGCTCAACACCATCAGCAAAAAAATTACCAAAAATCAACAGTAGTTTTTAGCGAATTGAAACTTGCACTTTTTAATACTAAAATCTAATGGGCCACAAAACTGCATACTAAAAATTTTTCTAAGAGATCGAATTTTTAAGAAATCGAATTGAAAAATGAAAAATTTCGATGAAAAATTTTTGAATTTCTGTATGAAATTAAAAAGAAAAAATGATTCTTGTGGTTTTCGCTGTTGAATCAACTATAGTAAAAAAATTGCAATGGAAACTATAAGTAAATAAAATCGTCAAAACGTCCAGGTACGCATATTTTTGACGTTCACTGTATGTCTACATATGCATAAGTATTCATAATAGGTTCCAGCTTTGCAGACTTTTTAGTGGTTAAACAAGGATATTAATTGGGTCATTTATTTAAACAAAAAAATTAAGCTCATCGATCACAATAAACCAGTTTCACGAATGAATGTAATGGATTTACGGTACGAAAAATTATGGATTACAGTTGTTGCCAAAGTGGCTAATGCTGTTTTTTCTTCTTTTTCTTCTATAAGCCAATCAATAAAAATAAACAGTTCGAAATAAGTTTTTGTTTTGCGAAATTTCTTATTTTAAAACTAAACAAAAGTGTGCATAAAATCTTCTAAAAGAAAATAAAATTCCGTGCTCGTAACTCCAACGAAAGGATCCTAAAAATATCTTGCGTTCTCTTCACGGTTGGATCTAAGCACCCGCGACGACCAAGATTTATAGCTGGCCTGCAACTTTCCTCAAAACTTTTGTGCATTTTTGTGTTGTTAGCAACAACAAATAACCTTAATTAAAATTGCCTCCGCCGCCTTCAATCCGTTCCTTATCCTTAGAAGAGAAATATAACAAAATAATAAATACAACATGCTAAAAGCCTCAAACACGGTAGAATCCGTTGCTTTCAATTAACAAATCCGTTGATTAAATACTTGCCGTTGATATTCGTCCATATGTATACTTATTTACTATCTTCCTCTTCCAACGATCTTAGCTTTACTTTCCGGTTAAAGATCACAAATTGCATGTCTCTATTCATTTGTTTTTGCATCAATCA